AAAAAAAAAAAAAAAAAAAAAAAAAAAAAAAAAAATTTTTTTTAAAAAAAAAGATGACCGGGGGCTGGGCCGTGGTGCACTCGGGAGAGTGCGGTGCTGATAACACCAAGGCCGCGGGTTCGGATCCTATATAGGGATGGCCGGTTCACTCACTGGCTGAGCGTGGTGCTGACAACACCAAGCCAAGGGTTGAGATCCCCTTACCGGTCATCCTATTAAAAAAAAAAAAAAAAAAAAAAAAAAAAGACAAAAGACTTTTATTTAAAAAAAAAAATCAGTTGACAATCTGGCCAGGAACTGCCACTGGAACCTACTGGAACCTATGACTACAACTTCCCGGGCCTCTTTCTTGAGTCATTCACCCGAAGCGTCAACAGGCCTCTCTGCGGTCACATGCCCGACTGGTGACTGAAAGCCTCCCAAGACTGCACACACCGAGAGAGATTATGACCTGAAAGGAAATCAGGGTAGTTCCTTTCCCTTCCTAGGAGAGGGGAACGCGGACATGGAGAGCCCTGCGGTACCCACAACACACTCTCCCACCAGCAGAGTTCTCTCTTCAGGGGATTTACAACGGGCCTTGCTTGAAGTGGTCACTCAGGAAATGTCAAATACATGAAGCTCAGGGAAAGACCACAGCTCCCATGCTCCTAAGCCTTCATCTAATCTAGAAACAGCTCTTCCCAGCTACGCCATGTTCAGTGAACACCAGCTGGATACGCCAAGCACCTCGCCTGTGCCGCACATCGCGGCAAGCTTAGAAAGACAGGGACGTCTCTCCTCGGGGAAGTGACAAGGTCAGATGTGTTTTAGAGTGATGGCTCATGTGAAAACACAGAGAAAAGCCTGGGAGGAGAGAGTGTAATTATGGCAGAGAACAGAGCAGGCAACAAGCCAGTAAGCCAAGGGCCAGTGAAAAAACGGGGCCCAGTCCCAGGTGCTCAGCCCCAGGAGAGGCAGGCACCGGGGAGATCCTGCTGGATGGCCACCACCCCGGCTCCAGGGAGGCTCCTCAACTGAGGTTTTCTGCACCCCAAGAATTCAATATGTAGTTCCATTAAAAAAATGAAAAAAGAGGGAACCCGCAATAGCAGGAGACATGTGAACTCTGGCCCTCATCTCCCTTGAGCACCAAGGCAAGGAAATCTAGAGAGAAAAACTCTGACATCAGCAAGTAACGTAATTTCACATTCTGAAAAGAAGTCTGAAGATCATCACACAGCAGTCTTGGTGACCTGGGGTGTACACAACCCCAGAAAGTGGGGACATGTTTTCCCGCCAACAGATCACAGGATCCCCCCCCACCCCTTACCTTCGGGGTCACCCATTCTTTCCGGCTGGGTGTCTGTGTCTTGACCATACACTTGGTCCATGCGGTGACGTCCCCGGTACAGTAATAAGCATCGCTCTTGAACACCAGCTGGCCTGAGCATTCCTCGCAGGGAAGGAGGGCTCCGAACACCATGCCATCAGCTACCCGGTCCAAGATCTGAAGCCAGTGAAGGATATGTCAGAGAGAAAAGGAGGGACGACAGAAAGACACCTACCAGTGGGGGGTGGAAGGACCTGCAGACTTCGCTCACTAAGAAGAAAGACTCGCCCTGGGGCTCCTTAACACCCCACAGGTAGCTGGTTTACAGCAAAGCTTGGATTCTTGTCCTTTAAGCGAACTTATTTCTAAGTGCAGTGTTCCTGCAGCTCCCTAAGTAAAGGGAGAGCCCACAGCATCCCCTGGTATCATGCAAGGTACAGTGCCAAGCTCAGCTCCGCAGAACAATGGCAGGGAAGGGCCAGCTGGGGAGACTGGTGGGATGCTGGCATGCCGCCTCTCAGGAAGGGTCTCTACCCCCTACAGGCCTGGCATCCACTGGGGACTTTGGGCAGAAGGTAACAGAGAAAGGTCCGCAGGCCAAAGTATGTGGCGTGAACACACAAGGCAAATATAGGACCCACCTCAGTCCTCACCACAATTCTAAAGTCAGGGTTAGCACGTGGAGGAAGTATGGTAGGGCGTGAGAACGCGTGCCCCATCCACCCCCGGAAAAACGGTGACCATGATGGCAGTGGGGACCATGCAACCCAACTCGGAGCTCTTACTCCTTGCCATTAATACCAGCAGGTGTCACACGGAGGGCCTCCCACACTCCATTAGGACAGTCACTCACAGCGACTGGGCCGGCCTCACGCGCGTGTCCCACTGAACACAAAGGCAGCTCACCGCCGACTCCCCGGAAGGCACTTGCTGCTTGTTGAAGATGAGCAGCTCTTTTAGGTCATTAGTTGAACACACTTTCTTTAGCTCATCCTTGATATTCCAGATCAGGTCGTTCTGGGCCTGTGGACAAGACCAGGCAGAGACCAACTCTTTTCAAAGAAAGAAACCCAAATGGAGGAAGAGCCCTCCCCTGGTTTGGCTTGGCCTCCAGTTACACACGTGAATGAGCTGCGCCTCCAAACCTGGTCTGATCAGCACAGAATCTGACTCCTAGTTACACTCCCGGGGTTACCAATGTAAGCCTGGAACCTGGTTTCTCAGAGAACACTGAGGAGGGTGGGAAAGGCGACAGCCAGGGCCCCACGGCCCCTGGACCCCAATCCCAGAGACACGGTAACAACCAGAAGTGCTAGGCTGGGCCCAGGGCCCACGTTTATCTTCCCCAACACCCAGCAACTAGAAGGGGACTTGGGACAGCTATTCTCCACCAATCTTAGAGTAGAAATGACTCCTAAATACCGATTTCCCTAATAGTGTATTATACTCAGTATCACGCAGGAATATTTTTAAGCTCTTCTGAAAACAAAACTTTATATCTTCTTTTTTAATACTTAAGTGCCTACTCTCTGTTAAAACACTTTCCGTGGCATCCCATTTATTCCCACAACCGTAACCCTTACAGAAGGCGGCATCGGCCTCCCCAGCTTAGAGGCGAGACCGGCGGAGTCTCCTTTCTCTAGGACAGTGGAGAGTTTTTCCTCTTGCAGCCTCAGACTGGACTCTGTAAAACGGAGATGAACACACCGGCCCTACCATGACCCACAGGGTTGCGATCGGCACCATGTGAACATGTCAACTTGTTTGACAAAGCTGCAGGCATGCACATTTGCAGCGTCATTTTGAAGGGCTATCAGTGACAACACCCCTCCCTCGTTCTTTCCTGTAGCACAGCACATGCTGGGACACCCGCAATGAAAATGTGGGAGCAGGAGGAAAGTTTAGTGGTACAAGGATAAATGAAAGAACTCCTCCACCCCTGTGACTAAGGATGGGGAGCCGGCAGACACTGATGCACCAGGCTGAGGAAGCATTTAACCTTCTGACTTTCCTTATATCTCTGGCAACACTGGGAAGAGACACGAACACCAAACCCAGCAAACCGTAACTGCAAGATAGCACCCAGCTCTGCGGCAGCCAGGTCTGGTGCACAGTGGGCAACTTTTACCCTGTCACGCCAAATCTGTGATTCGCATTGGGCCACTGGAACCAGATCAGAAATTGCTTTTCCTTTTTATGCCCCCAGCAAAAACTGAATACTCATACAAGAAACTCAAGCAGATGGCTCATGGAAATCATGTTCCCAAGCAGAGACTGACTGTTCTCCAGTTTCCCAAAACCCCAGCATTTTCTGATTAATCATTTTTACTTTGCTTTAACACACATGTAATCAACAGAGATGAGCCTCCCTGGTTAATGAGCATTTATTTATTTATTTTTCGGGTGGCTGGCCGGCACGGGGATCCAAACCTTTGACCTTGGTGTTACAAGGCTGCGCTCCAACAGAACTAACCGGCCAGCCCCAGTGAGCACTGATTTAATGGGTAGTTTTCTCCTCTGTCACTATATGCCTTCTACTCCTTTTTAAAATGAGAAATCGGTGGCACAGCTGGAGCCTTAACGCTAGAGCCGGAGCTGCTGCACCAGTCACCCTGCAGGTCCTCAGTCCACTAATTCCTGTCCCGGAGCTTCATCCAACATGCCAGCCAGCAAGCGGTCCCTGTCACCCTCTTTTTTCCTCCGCTCTCTCTTCCCTCTTGCTCAGTTTGCAGTGAACTTGAAAGGAGAAAGCCTGGGGACACCCCAAACCCCTCCTGCCCATTGCAAGTGCCACTACCGCCACGCACCCCCCACCATCTCATCTCTTCTCCCGCCTCTTCAGCAAGAAGCAGATGCGCTATGTGATGGTTGGATTGGATGCTGCTGGCAAGACGACCATTCTTCATAAACTGAAGTTAGGGGAGACAGTCACCACCATACCTACCACTGGTTTTAATGTGGAAACAGTAGAATATAAGAACATCTGTTTCACAGTATGGGATGTTGGTGGTCAAGATAAAACTAGGCCTCTCTGGAGGCATTACTTCCAGAATACCCAGGGTCTTATGTTTGCGGTAGACAGCGATGATCGTGAAAGAATTCAGGAAGGTGCAGAAAATGCTCCAGGAAGATGAGTTGCAAGATGCAGTGCTGCTGCTTTTTGCAAACAAACAGGATTTGCCAAATGCTATGGCCATCAGTGAAATGACAGATAAATTAGATCTGCAGTCTCTTCATAACAGAACATGGTATGTTCAAGCCACTTGTGCTGCATGAGGAACTGGTCTGTATGAGGGATTTGACTGGCCGTCAAAGGAGCTTTCAAAACGTTAAATGAAACTGGATATCTAAGCAAGGACACATTTCATAGAATTGGTCTAGGCTTGTTACAACAAAATTAGTTTGCATCTTGGTTACTAAACTATCTGGAACTGGTTTGGGCAGAATATTACAGCGTTTAAACTTATTTTGTTGCCAATTATTGTTTACCAAGTATAATGTTGCTATTTAGCAATAAACTTGGTTTTAAAGAAATTCTCCTTGGGGAAAAAAGTATTCTCTTTTAATTTTACTTTCCTTAAACCTAAATGCCTGGACATAAGTTATTGTGGGGCCTTTTAATAAGTCTGTTTTGAATGTTTTTTTTTTTTTTTGAGCCCACAACAAACAATGTTTTAGAGTTATCCCCTTGCCACTTTACTGATACCTTTATCATTCCTGGGACAGTCTGATTTTAAAAATGTAGCATTCCATTTATATTTATTTCTATCCCTTGCCAAAAATATTTTTTAATACTGCATGCACCAGCCAGGGAAATACTCCAACACACTGTTCAGCTGTCCTGCACTGAGGGACTTACCTTTCCCTCATTATTGACTCCTGGCTTCCATCGGCCAAACTGAACCCTGGTGTGGTTTGGATTTAAACCTAATTAATTCTGTGCTGGTTGCAAAGAGTTCACATTGGGTTGGTTTTTAATACTCAGCAGATTGTCCTCCTTTATATTGTACTGTTTTTATGTCGCGTGTTGCGTTTGGTATCAGCCTCTTTGCCCGGTATATGATAATTCTGCTAATGTTTTATTGTTTATTGGTGAACATATTTTCATTAAGAGTTTTTGGAAAACTCATCAGACTCAGTGAGTAAGTTTTCTTCATAACCCATTTGGAATTATTCCTAATGAAATGAAAAAAAATATATATATATATAAAAGAGAGAAATCTTCATTTAAAAAAAATGTGTAAAAACTTTCTCTTCAAGCCATTTGTCTACACTGAGAAGCTCTGGCATCCTTGAATTTAACATTTGGTTTCCAACATTTGCGAGCGACCCCGAAGGTACGAGATGGCAGTGGTGTACGACTGGGCCAGAGCACGTGAGGCTGGTGAGTGGGACAGGGCGCTCGGCTCCTGCTGGGCCTGGCACCTACAGCCCCATGTGGGCTCTCTTCCAAATATGAATTATTTCTTTGAAAGGAGGGAAGGCAATAATCTGGAGAAAAAGCCATGCTATCAAAGATAGCTATCAATTTAAGAATTCTTAAAGGTCTTGGTGAGTGGGACGCAACTTCTCGAACTTTCTTCCCAGAACAAGGAAGAGAACTGAGATGGAACGTGGAAGGGAGGCACAAAGCTCAGGACTCACCTTGAGGGCCTTTTCAAGCTTACTGTCCTTGTCTTTTTCTTTTTTAGATTTCTTCTTGGCCACTCCATCCACCTCATCACCTTTTCTCTTTCTGAAAGAGACACAGGATATGAGAAAAAACCAGAGCCATTAAAACTCTGACACCCAATGACTCGGGCAACACAGAATCTTACGTCATTTTAACTCCTCTCTGCCAGGCCCTGCTCACATGTCACTCCCAACCTGTGCTCCACTCAGTGCTCTCAGGAGCTCACCATATACTCAGGCAGTACTTGCAACTGAGAAGGTAGAAGACTCCGTCCATTTCAGAGCATACTCTGCCAGCCGAGGAGGGTGGCTGGGGTTGCTCCAGGATTTTGGAACAGCCCAGCACAGGAGCCGGGGATCAGGCCCCACCTGATGTCAAAAACCCCATGTATCTCTTGGCATGAAAGAGATGGCCTGGAAGGTTCTCGCAGGAAATATGCTGGAGGTAAGCCCAGGGACTAGGGGGAGGGATTGCAGAACGACAAAGCACAGGGGCTGGGCCTTTTGAGCTAAAACATAGACAGGGCTGCTCCCAAGGCCAAGAGGCTGTTCTAAGAGGTGGGGCTTGTGCTGCCACTGAAAGTCCACACGAGAAATGACAGCCAAAGCACCACCAACCAGCCATTCCCCACTGGTTCGGCAAACGCACAACAGCTAACCAAGCTCAGCAGCGTCCTGACTCGAGGGCAGGCACAGAGGGTACCGGCAACCCTAACAAACGTGGGGCAGGACAGCCAGAGCAGTCAGGAGTCAGTCTCAGCTGTCATGCAGACGAAAGTTCAAACCCTTACACTCTTCCTCATCTATAAAATAGGGAAAAGAAAACCATCTTCCTTATAGAATCGTGGCAATGGTCAATCGAACCAGCTCAAGTGCAGAGCTGAGCACACTGAACGTGCTCGATCCACTCTGGTTGTCACTACTGCTCACATGTGAGCTGATGAATTCCCGCATCACACGTTGCGACGCCCTGAGGATTTTCTGATCTACGGAACTGATTTTCCAGTTTTCTTATACATTCCAGAGCCACCTGTGTGTGCTGCTGCAATGAACTTGTGTCCTATGCGCTGAAATAATGTATGACGGCTGCTCGATGAGGGTGGCCCACAGCAGCTGTCCAAGGAGTGGGGTGCACCCTGGGCCCCGCCACGCCACTCTGACTGTGCTTAACAAGCAGTTGTCTAGACTGGGGCTCAAGGGAGCAGCAGAGGGTAAACAGGGAAGAGCAGGGAGTGTCCACTGACTCGAGACAGTCACTGAGAGTCCTTACATCCTGAACTCAGCACCATGGGACGTCCATCCCATTCTGAACTCTAAGCCAGGGAACTTACTATCTACTCCCCATCTCTGCAAACTCCCTGCCAGAACTTTCCAGGCCTTTTCTTTTGTGCCAAGAGATACATGGGGTTTCTGACATCAGGTGGGGCCTGTGCCCTGGATCCTATGTAAAAATGGTCAGGATTCACCCAGCACCATTCCTAAAGACCCAGACGCACAGGAACACACCCACAAGCACGTCTACGAGGATGCCTAAGGGATGTGGGAGTGGATCATGAGGGGTCAGAGGAAACGTGGTGGCCGGCCCAGGCAAAGGCAACCCTCAGATGGGCAGGAGAGTGACCTTAAAGCCTGCAGGGCTATCGTGGAAGAGTGGGACCGGATTCTTCCCCATCCATGGAGATCAGCTGTCAGAAGGGGGAGCAGACCGCCAGGAAGCAGATCTCACAGGGGAGTGGGCTCTCAGCAGGGGTGGGGCTGTAGGAATGTCCACTGGGAGCTCCTGCAAGTCCGCTCTACTCTGTCCTCTGCTCCCACAGCCCTGCCGTCGCCATCCCTCAGTCTGCCTCTCCACGGCTTTTGGACGGTCAGCAAAGGGAACCACAGACAGTCTGTAGGGTCTTCGGGCCTCCCTCAAGCCCCTCTCGGGACCCCCAGAGCGCCCACCCACCCTTCACTCTTGACTCCCGGGAGCTGCTTCTTCAGGGCGTCTTTATCCTCCGCAGAGAGGAGGCTGAAGCCCTTGAGCTGGCTCGCGCTGTACTCGAGCCGGAAACCCAGCTCCTCCCTGTTCTTGACAAAGCAGTTCGGGTGGTACCAGCGGTCGATCATGCCCAGCTGGGGCTTCTCCGGGTCCAGCATCTTCTTGGACAGGCGCATCTGGCCCTGGAGGAAAAACCACAAGTGGGACCAAGGAAGGACAGTGAGCACCAGAGGGGCGAGCCTGTGCTCCAGCCGGCGGGGGCCTCGGGTCCCAGCCAAGGCCTGCCTGGCAACCCGGGGTTTCAAGGGCCGCTGGGAGGTTCTGGCTCCCTTATGCCACCAGGGATTGAATACTACCCTCAAGCCTCAGCACCACCATTTTAAAAGGAGCTAATTCCAAATGGCTGGCTGGCTAGCTACCTGCCTGGACAAGTGAGGAGACAACCCTTCCCTGAAGATGTTTCTGCTGACCTGGGGCGGGCAGAGCTGGAGACTTGCATAATACCTGGACCAACCCCCAATGCAGCACATTTATCCTAGCAGGGATTTGCTGCCCGTGCCCACCCTCAAGTGGCAAGAAACCATCGGCAAGAACCCAGTCCTACCAGCCCGCCCAGACTTAAAAGTCCCTAGAGCTGACATCTCCAGGAGTTTCATGCCTGTGAGGCCCAGACCCAGGGAACTCAGCCTGAGGGGCTGTTGACAATACGTAAAACTCCTTTTTAGGCTCAGTAACACCCAACCACACAGAGCTTCTGGTACTGCCTTTTAGATGAGGTGGACCTTAACTTTTGCTTCAAATTTTCAGTGGCCGAAGGTAGCTGGAGAAGATCTAGCAATTCCATGTCTTTCCCTTTCTAAACACTACCCACACTCCTCAATTTCCTGTTTAATACCTGTAGGAGGCAGGAACCTTCAATCAATGCCTTAAATGGATCAACTCGTACGTGCAAGAAACACGAGAAGGTGAGGAGGCCGGAGGGCACAAGGCTTTCCTCCTACCTGTGTCACCGGCTGCTTGTACATCTGACAGGCTGCAGCCTTCAGGGACTAGAATTGGTAGGAAAGGCTGGTTAATGAAGTTCCTCTGATTAAACAGAAGAAAGCTGGAGGCTCACACCAGGGAAAACACAGTCCTTAAAATTAATCCTGCCATAAAGCACAGACAACAGCCTTTCCCCAGCCACTGCTGAGTCCAGAAGTGACCCCTCATGTTAATGCTTCCCAAACTCTCCCATGTCTGCAGCCACAGGCACAAGGACTGGACCACAAGAAAGCAGGGCCAGACCTGTGTGGAGGAACAGTCACTGTCATCTCCAGTCTCTCCCGACATCTTTATTGTTAACCACTGGGGTGGGGTAGCACCCTAAAGCCCTGAGCTCTCCTGTTCTCCAGATAGCCAAGGACACCCAGTGCGAAGCAACACATGAAGTGCTGCTGCCCGAGCCCAGCCCTCACCTTTTCAATCTTCTCCATGCACCCCTTGCACGTGCTTCTGTTGGACTTGGCGTACTCCGCCGCGAAGTCGCCCAGCGTCTGCTCTGTCTTGCTGCCCACTCCATCCTGGCCTTTGCCTGAAGAATCAAACACAGCAACTCTCATCTCAACAGTGTCACACACAGCACAGCACCACAAAGTCCCCTGTCCTCTCCCCCTACCTCCCTGAGATCCCTCCACTAGGACACCTTGTGTTTTGGGAGACTACAATTGGTCCATCTCATCTCTGTCTGTCTGTAACAACTGTGGTTGGTTGACAGAGGTTCTTTTCTGGCAATAAAGTGACCTTTCTCATACAAGCCCTTTGAAGCAGCACCACGTTAGCTGGCCATCAGCTGTCTGACCTACACCTCTCTCCATTTCCTCTGGAGTACCCTCCCCTCCCAACCTTGGAAAGTACTTATTAAGTGCTTACCTTTAAAAGCCTAGAACCATATTAAATTCTAATTCAGCCTTCTAATTTCCATTATACCTTTATTTATCAAAGTTCACTGTTGAATTGAAGGGACTGTCTTGATACAGATCAGACACAAGTGTACTTAAGAATTAAACTCTGGCAAAGGTACCATTTCAAATTAGTGGTGAAAGGATGAATCATTCAAGAAAGAGTTTTGGGGAATCACTGGCCAACTATATGAGATAAAAGCTAGATTCTTTTCTAAAACAAAAATAAATTCCCAGGTTGCATGTTTCCTAAGACGAGAACAAAGCAAGACTGTCATCTCTCACCACTTCTATTCCAGGCTGTGCATTAGCGAAAGAAAAAGAAATAAAAGGGGTAAGTTTTTTTTTTTCTTTTTTGTCTTTTTCCGTGACCGGTAACGGGATCGCAACCCTCGGTGTCGCGGCCGCACCGCGCTCAACCAGTGAGCGGACCGGTCTCTATATGGGATCCGAACCCTTGGCGGGAGCGCCACCGCGCTCTCAAGCACCGCACTCTACCAAGTGCGCCACCGGGCTGGCCCCAAGGGGTAAGTTTTGTTTTTTTGTCTTTTTTTTTTTTTTCGTGACCGGCAACGGATCGCAACCCTCAGTGTCGCGCCTGTACTGGACCAGGACCGGCAACGGGATCGGCAATGGGATCGCAACCCTCGGCACTGCCCCCGCTCCTCGCTCAGCCAGTGAGCGGCCAGTCTGTATGTGGGATCCAAACCCTCGGCGGGAGCGCAGCCGCACTTCCCAAGCGGCGCACTGCAGCAGTGCGCCACCGGGCCGGCCCCCCCAAGGGGTAAGTTTTGAAAAGAACAAGTAAAGCCATTTCTATTTGTAGATGCATGATTATATAAGTGAAAATCCTTAGGAATCTATAAAAAAGCTACTAGAACTATTAAGTGAACTTAGGGAATTTGGAGGGCGTAAGGTCCATATATACAAACATACAAAAATTTCTATATACTAGCAATAAACATTGCAAAAAGAAAGCACATTGCTATTTAAAAGCCTTAAAATACATAAGAGATAAATTCAACAAAAGATTGCTACACTGAAAAGTTGCAAGACTGCTGAAATTAAAGAAGACCTAAATGAATGGAGAGACTTAATCATGTTCATGGAGTGGAAGAATCAGTTTGTTAAGATGTCAATTTTATCTGCCATTTGATCCACAGATGCAATGCAATGCCAGTCACATTCCTACCAGGCTTTTTTTTTTTTCCCTTTTTGTCTTTTTTTGTGTCCGGCAATGGATCGCAACCCTCAGTGTCGCACCCGGACCGGGACTGGCAACGGGATCGCAACCCTCGGTGTTGCGCCCGCACCTCGCTCAGCCAGTGAGCGACCGGTCTGTATGTGGGATCCGAACCCTCGGCGGGAGCGTCGCCGCGCTCCCAAGCGGCGCACTGTAGCAGTGCGCCACCAGGCCGGCCCCCTACCAGGCTTTTTAAGGCAAAGAAATTAATAAGTTTACCACAAAATTTTTAAGGAATTACAGAGGACTCAGAAAAGCTAAAACAGTATCGAAAAAGGACTAAGGTGGAAGTATGACACTACATGACTTCACAAAGTACTATCAGTCATAGTTACTAAGACACTGGGTTATTGGCAGACAAATAAATCAATGGAACCAAACAGAACCCAGACAGACCCACATTATGCAGTCACCTAGTTTTGACAAATAAGCCAAAGCAATCCAACGGGGAAAACAATCTTTTCAACAGATGGTGCTGTAACAACAGGATATCCGCATGGAAGAAAAAAAAAAAAAAAAAAAAAAAAAAAAAAAAAAAAAAAAAAAAAAAAAAACAACCCAAAGAACATCCTCCTCACACCACACCTAACATGAAAACTAATTTAAGGTTTAAGATCATAAATCTAAATGTAAAATCTACAGCTACAGAACTTCTAGAAGAAAACTAAAGAGTATATCTACACGATCTTAAGAGTAGGCAAAGATTTCTTAGCAGCAAGCACTAACCAAAAACGAAGGGGGGGAAAAAAATCAACAAATTGGACAAATTTAATCAAAATTAAAAACTACCGCTCTTCAAAAAAATGTCGGCAATTAAACAAAAAGGCAAGCCACAGACCTGGAGAAGGTATTCACAACACTTATAATCTAGTAAAAGGCTTGTATCTACAATATACTAAGAACTCTTACAATTCAATAATAAAGAAAAGCACAAATTAAAACCATGAGAAAATGTTACCATCAGATTACCTGTCAGAATGACTAATATTGAGGAGTGACCATACTCTTTAAGAGAGAGCAAGCGTGGGGAGGCACTGAAACTCTCGTGTGGCTGGTGGGAATATAAAACTGTACAACCAATTTGGAAAACAGTTTGGCAGTTTCTAAAAGAGCCAAATTGTACACCTACTGTGTGACCTAGCTATTCCATTCCTAGGTATTTACCCAAAAGAAATGAATGCACATGTGTATACAGAGACTCGCACACAAATGTTAACAGCAGATGTATTTATAATAGCTCCAAACTGGCAGTACTCCAAAAGTCACCAACAGGAAATGGATAAACAAATTGTGATACACTCAAACAAAGGACAACTCCTCAGCAATAAAAAAACTGACTAATTACACATGAGACAACCTGGGTGGGTCTCACAGACATTACGCTGAGTGAAAGACACATAGAGAGTACACACGATTCCCCTTTTCCCCTGAAATTCTAAATCAGGCAAAATGAATCTATGGGGATACAGATCAGAACCAGTCCTTACCTGGATCAGGGAAGGATGTTTAAAAGAACACAAGGGAACTTTCTGGGATGGCAGAACTGTTCTATAATTTGATGGGGTGTACGCATGTATACACTTGTCAAAACTCACTAAACTAGATAAGATCTGTGCATATAACTTCAGGTAAATTATTTAAAATTCCAGACTTTATTAAAGACATACTGCAAACACACATTAGTCAAAGATGGGCCTTGAATGTGGCAAAACATACAACAGGCAGCAAAAAAAAGGTCAAACTAGAGAAGATATTTACAAAATGTGATGACAAAGAATTGGTATTTTTTATATTTCATTTATAAAAAGTCAAAACACCCCAAAGAAAAATGAGGTAAAGAGACATATTAAAGTAACACAAATGGCCTTAAAAAAAGGGGGGGTGGGGGGGTGGGGCGCTAATAAACATATGACAAACTGTTTTACCTCACTGGTAGTGAAATGAAAAAGAGTGAAAATACTTAGAAATGGTGCGGAGGTGGAGAGATGGGTCTACTACATATTGCTGGTGTAAGGGCAACTGATACAACCTTTCCGGAAGGCAGTTTGGCACATACAAAGCAGCCTTAAATTTGTTCATCCCTTTGGGCAGTAATTCTACTTCTTGGAATTAAAGAAATAACTGGTCAGTTGCACAGAATAAACAAGAAGTTCGCTGCAGCTCTATTTGTAATATAGCTAAAAGGATAAAACCCTGAAGACAGCTGGATTTGAATCAGGGCTCAGGCATTTACTACCAGTATAACCTAGGGTCACTTACCTAACTTCTCTGTGCCTCAGTTTCCTCATCTGTAAAAGCCAATAAAAGCCTACTGCAGGACTCAATGAAATACATGTCAAGTGCTTAGCAAGACTTCAATAAATGAATAGTATGTGCCTTTAAAAGATAATGATGGAAATCGCTAACTTTTAACACGAAATGAGCAAACACCAAGTTGTAAAAGTAATGCATAAGTCAGAGAATCAAAACCACAATGACACCACTTCACACACATCAGATTGGCTATTTTATGGATTGCTGGTGGGAATGCAAAATGTTACAGCTGCTGTCAAAAATAATATGGAGACTCCTCAACAAATTAACCATAGAATTACCATATTATCTAGCGATTTCACTTCTGGGTATATACAGCTGAGGTGGAAGCAGGCTCTCTAACAGATATCTGTGTACCCATGTTCACAGCAGCATTATTCAACATAGCCCAAAGTAGAAACCATCAAATAACCACTGACATATGAATGGATAAACAAAAAGTGGTAGAGACATACAACAAATGAGATATTATTAACATAGGAAATTCTGACACATGCTACCACATGGAGGAATGTGGAAGACACTATGCTATGTGAAATAAGCCAGACACAGGGCTAATACTGTATGATTCTACTCATAACGGGCACCTAGAATAGTCAAATTCACAGGATTCATAGAGACTGAAAGCAGAATGGTTGTTGCCAGGGGAATGGGAAGTTACTGTCTAATGGATACAGAATTTCGCTTTGGGAAGATGAAAGGTTCTGGAGATGCATGGTGGATGGTACACAGCAATGCGAATCTACTTAATGTCACTGAGCTGGACACTTAAAAATGGTTAAGATGACAAATCTTATGTTATATGTATTTTACCACAAAAAAAGGTAATTGAGTATTTTTTTTTTAAAAAGTAATACTTAAGAGTAAGACCCTATTTCTACAGGAAAGAAAAAAAATCACACACACACACATGTCAATGCTTTCTAGGTTGACACCTCACAGTGTTAACAATCGTTATCTCTTTTTTTTTTTTTTTTTTTTTAAAGGATAACGGGAAGGGGGACCCCACCCCTGGGTTGGGTGCTGCCACCCCCACGCTCAGCCAGTGAGCAAACCGACCATCCCTATATGGGATCCGAACCCGCAGCCTTGGTGCTATCAGCACCGCACTCTACCGAGTGAGCCACAGGCTGGCCCAACAATCGTTATCTCTGAACTACAGGATCTGGGATGAATTAAACTTTAACTTCTTTGGATGGAAAATAGCTGGACAATTAGTAAGTAGTATCTTAACTTTATGGTTATGATGGTTTCATAAAACACACATTTACAGCAAAATTATTATGCCTTTTCCCATTATAAAATTATAATTTGATACGTTTAAATTATAACTAGATAGGGCCGGCCCTGTGGCGCACTCGGGAGGGTGCGGCGCTGGGAGCGCAGCATCGCTCCTGCCACGGGTTCGGATCTTATATAGGGATGGCTGGTTAGCTCACTGGCTTAGCGCGGTGCGGACAACACCAAGTCAAGGGTTAAGATCCCCTTACCGGTCATCTTTAAAAAAAAAAAAAAAAAAAAAACTATAAGCAATTAATGTAATTTTTCTTTATAAATCACCTGGTTTCAGGTATCCTGTTATAACAACACAAAACGGACTAATACAGCCACTATATAGTGGTTTTTCCTGTTCTAGAACTTTAAATAAAAAGATCCTACTACATATATATGCTTTTTTGGGTCCTCATTCTTTAGCTTGGCAATGCTGTTTTGAGATTCGTCAATATTGCTGTGTGTATCAACAGTTTGTTCCTTTTGGGGCCGGCCCGGTGGCACACTGCTATAGTGCGCCACTTGGGAAGTGCGGCGGCGCTCCCGCCGAGGGTTCGGATCCCACATACGGACCAGTTCCCGCTCACTGGCTGAGCGAGGCGCGGGAGCAACACCGAGGGTTGCGATCCCGTTGCCGGTCCCGGTCCGGTACGGGGGCGACACTGAGGGTTGCGATCCATTGCCGGACACGGAAAAAGACAAAAAGGGGAAAAAAAAAAAACAAACAAAAAAAACAGTTTGTTCCTTTTTATTGCTTAGTATTATTCCATTGTATGGACATACCACAGTTTGCTTATCTATTTGCCTATAGATGAGTACTTAGATTGTTTCCAGTTTGGGGCTATTATTAATAAAGTTGCCATGGGGCCGGCCCGGTGGTGCACTCGGTAGAGTGCGGCGCTTGGGAGTGTGGCGGCGTTCCCGCCGAGGGTTCAGATCCCATATAGAGACCGGTCCGCTCACTGGCTGAGTGCGGTGGCGGACGCGACACCGAGGGTTGCGATCCCGTTACCAGTCACGAAAAAAAGACAAAAAGGAAAAAAAATAATAATAAATAAAGTTGCCATGAATATTTGAATTCGAATATTGTATTCAATTATATATTGGTGGTGGTGGGAATTGGGGGACCCTACAACTGCCAGATTGGCGGACGCGACACCGAGGGTTGCGATCCCGTTACCAGTCACGAAAAAAAGACAAAAAGGAAAAATAAATAAATAAAAAAATAAAGTTGCCATGAATATTTGAATTCTAATATTGTATTCAATTATATATTGGTGGTGGTGGGAATTGGGGGACCCTACAACTGCCAGATATCCCCTTACTGGTCACGAAAAAGACAAAAATAAAATAAAATAAAATAAATTATAACTAGATATAGCATTATCTAGGTACCTAAACCTACAACTTCCAGTATCCTCAATACAAAAGGGAAACAGCCACAGAACAAAAAAAAAATTTATTACACTCAACTTCTCTTAAAACTGACACTCACCCTCTGGACCCTTTCTTGGCAAATTTACTGTTATTTTTACACACAGTTCTGAGCGGTGTTACTGATCTCTTAGTTTCCAGCAGATCAGAGGTAGCTGTAGTTCAAACACACCAATGGCTGAGAGAAGGACAGGCAGACAGAGACAACACACCTCAGCACAGACGCAAACAGCTCCCTGGGGAAGGATGGCTGAACTACCATCCATGTCCTTAGAGCCATGAGAACAGGTTAAACTGGGTCAGTTTAGGAAAGCAGAGAAGTGAGAATGCAGTCTCAGAAGATTTCCTTCAAAACAATGATAAAATTGACTTTTTAAAATTTAAAGGCACCCAGCATGCTAGTTTGTGGATAAGAATAAACCAATTCTAAAAATTATGTGGACAGGCAAAAGACCTAGAATAGCCAACACAATACTGGAGAGAACAAGCTGGAAGACTTCCTATAAGGCTACAGCCATCAAGACAGTGTGGTATTATATTAGCAAAAGAGTAAATAGGTAATAGAACAGAACAGAGAGCCCAGAAGAAGACCCCACAAATAAAGTCCAGTGATTGTTGACAAGGGAGCAAAGACAATAATGGAGAAAAGATGGTATTTTCAATAAATGGTGCTGGAACAGCTGGACACCCACATGCAAATCAATGAACACAGTCTTTATATCCTTCACAAAAAGTAACCCAATATGGATTGCAGACTTAAATTAAATGTAAACTATAAAACAACATAGAGGGGCTGGCTGGTGGCTCAACTGGGAGAGCATGGTGTTGATAACACCAAGGTCAAGGCCCCCACACCAGCCAGCCCCCAAAACAAAACGAAACAAAAACCCTCCTCTGGGCTGACTGGTTAGCTCAGCTGGTTGGAGCGCAGCCTTGTCACACCAAGCTCGAGGATTTGGACCTCCATACTGGACAGCCACCAAAAAAAAAAAAAAAGAACCAAAAGAAAATAAAGGGAGAAAACCTAGATGACCTGGGGTCTGGGGATGATTTTTTCAGATGCAACACCAAAGACACAATCTATGGAATAAGTAATTGATAAGCTAGACTTCATTAAAATAAAAAAAAACTTCTGCTCTGTGAAAGACACAGTGAAGAGAAGCAGAAAGAAGACCAGACACACACTGGGGAAAAGGTATCTGCAAAAGACATCAAAGGGCTGTTATCCAAAATATACAAAGAACTCCTGAAATTCAACAATAAGAAAACAAACAACCTGATTAAAAAACAGGCAAAAGATCTGAACAGACACCTCACCAAAGATTATACACAGAAGGCAAATAAGCCTATGAGATGCTTAACATCATCACGGCATTAGGGTAACACAAATTAAAACAATGAAATACCACACACCTAGCAGACTGGCCCAAACCCAAACACCGACAATACCAAATGCTGGTGAAGATGCGGCGTGACAGGAACTCTCGTTCACTGCTGGTGGGAATGCAACATGGTTTGGCCATTTTGGAAGACAGCTGAACAGTTTCTTACAAAACCAAACATACTCTTACCAGATCCAGAAATTGTGCTCCTTGGTATTTACCTAAAGGAGCTGAAAACACGTCCACTCAAAAACCTACACGTGAATGTTTATAGCAGTTTTGTTCACAACTGCCAAAACCTGGAGGCAACCAAGACATTCTTCGGTAGGTGACTGGATGAACAGACCCCGGGACATCAGACAAGGGAGTATTACTCAGTACCAAAAAGAAATGAGTTGTCGTGGAAAAGCATGGAGGAAACTTAAGTGCATACAACTAAGTGAAAAAAGCCAGTATGCAAAGGCTACATACATATTGTATGATTCCAACCATAGGACCTTGCGGCGAAGGCAAAACTATAAAGACAGTAAAAGATGAGTGGCTGCCAGGGGACAGGGGAGGGCGGGACGAACAGGCGGAGGAGCACAGAGGATGTTCAGGGCAGTGGAATTACTCTGTATGGTATTAGAATGGTGGACACATGTCATTACAGATTTGCTGAAACCCACAGAACGTACACCGAGAGTGACCCCTAATGTAAAGTGTGGGCCCTGGTGATAACGATGTGTCAGTGCAGGCTCACTGATGGTAACAAATGCACCACTCTGGTGGGGGATGTTGACAGTAGGGGACGCGGTGGGGTGGGCAGGGGGTATATGAGAACTCTCTGTACTTTGTTCAGTTGTGCTGTGAACCTAAAAGTGCTCTTAAAAACAGTCTGTTAAAAACAAAATGACAAATCTGAAGGCTACGTTTCAAGCATGTGGAAAAATAAAATACAAGCCATCATGCAACAGGCAACGCTGGGTCAATGAGGCGTTGCTGAAGTAACACATGCACGTGTGCAGGACGGAGAGGGCATGCTGCGGGACGGGGAGGGCATGCTGCGGGACGGGGAGGGCACGCTGCGGGACGGGGAGGGCATGCTGCGGGACGGAGAGGGCATGCTGCGGGACTTTTTCTTTGCTCTCTCAGGAAAGAGCCCTGGATGCTTCAGAGTGGGGGGCTCCCTGGTCTCTACGCACCAGTCACTCCTCCGGCCTCCGCGGTCTTCTTGACTTTCTGCTGGTCATCCCACCGCAGCTCCGAGAACCCATCCACCTCGATGTCGGGGTGCCGGATGGAGTGGCCCACCTTCCAGAAGCAGGAGAAGTGGTACCAGTGTGGGACTTTTCCATCGAACATGGGCGACTAGGAAGGAAGGGAACCAGAGGGAGGTAAGTGGGCAGTTGACCTCCGGCTCCGACTCACCAGACCCCTACCTCAACGCCAGCCTCAGCAGCGGAGCCACACAACACCCTTGCTTTCTCATCTGTAAGGACAGCTGTGCCCACGTCCCCCACACCTCTGTAACAGCACCCCTGTAACAAGATCTTCCCTGACAGCCTGGAAAACCACCGCCTGCTGCTGCTGAGCCCATCCTGAGGACACAGAACACAGCCACGGGAGTGGTGGCGTCTTACAGCAGAGCTCTGTCCCGTGCCCCTTTCAATCATGCCTGCTCCATCAGTGCTAATCAGCCTCCCAGCTAGTGAAATACACACAGGACACCCGGTCAGTGTCACAACCCGACAACCACTCCTGTCAAGCCTGGACTCAAAGGGCCTGTGTGGCCCAGAACGGGCTCTGTAAGTGCCTCTGCAGTTAAGAAGAATGAGAAACAAGATCGAGATAATGAGCAAGGCAGAGAAAACGTGTCAGAGAAAAGGGTCCAGCGCGCAGCAGCTGCACACATGTGAGTGGAATGAATTAGTGTCTGCAGGGGGAGCGGGAGAGAGAACAGCTCGGGGCAGCAGGCCCGGCCTGCCAGGGCGACACTGTCAGCTCCTCACTGGCCTTCAGGGAAGGCCACCTCCTGGGTGCAGGAACCAGGAGGTCCAGTTATGAGGGAAGGATGGTCCCCTCCTGAGGGGTTTCCTTTCCCGCAGATGGTTCACACTCGGGTTGGTACAGACTCAGCAGCCTTTCATTGTGCCGTGACCAGGTTCCCACACTGTCTGGCAAGAGAGGAGGATACTGGCATTTACTTGGTCCCTGGTGCCTTTCACAAGCCATCTCGTGTAACCCCACGACCTGCTTCTGGGTGGGAACTAGCACCCCCATTTCATAGATGGGGCTGTTGGGGCTGAAAACCTTGCCAAGGGTGGGTGTGGGGGTCGTACAGGCAGTTAATGACTGAGTCTAAACTTGAATCTGGCTGGAAGGGCTACTTAAAAATACAGAAACTGTGTGCTGACTGAAAGAAGGCCCCAAACTCCTGCTTTTATAGAACATAAATGTCACACAGATGTAATCAGATTAAAACGGCATTAAAAATAACTACTATGCCAAACTTTTAGGCTAGGGTTGTGGGGACAGGGGAAATAGTCTGGAAAAGCAGTGACAAGGTATCTCAACTAGCCCCCTCCACTCTGTAAGTGGCGTCTTTCTGGATGTCATATATTAAAATGCAAGGCTAAGTAAGGCCGTGGCACCTCAAGGACTCCCTTCAGTATCGTGCCTGGAATTACAGCAGCATAAGCTTTTCCCTGGGTCTGAAATGCTCTCGCACCCCACTTAGAGGTCAGATCCTTCCCACAGGCCCCCTCAGTTAAGACAGATACAGTGTCTGTGTCCTGCACCTGGTTAGAAGCTTCCAAGCTCCCAAAGAGGCAGGAGGCCGTCTTGCTAGCATCCAGCACACAAAGACTTTGCTGAGAGCAGACTCAGGCTCTGGCTCTCAAACTTTCCACCAGATCTCACCAAGGCAGCAGGTACAGATCCCTAAGCACCTGGCTGTCTTATAACAACATTTGCAGTGGCTAGACCTGGCTCTTCCTTCCTTTGTACTCCTGGTCTACCCCTCCCAGGCACTGCTTAGGTTACCCTCCTGCAATGGAGGTACGTGGCGGTGGCACTTCTTCCTGGCTCTGTGAGGGGCCCCACACCTGCTGCCCCTCGGTCTGAGTGCTGTCTTCTCAACCACCAGGGCAGTGCTGCGCACTCACGGCACAAACTTAGGGGACCACAAGGGCCCCAGCCTCCAGCGAAAGCATCCTTGACCAAAGCAAGGCTTTATCCTAGAATTTAGGACTGAGAATAATATGGCAGGAAGGCACTAGACCAAGGTCACAAGACAATGGCCTCCTTTGATAGCTGCGCAGCTCAGACAAAGTGCAGAATCTTTGGTTGAGTACCCGGCAAACACACTGAGCAACTACCACGTACCAGAGTCCTAACCCGGCCACCAGCTGGTGAACCCCTTCGGTTTCCTTCTGTGTAAAACAGGCCACACTACACCTGCCTGCCTACCCCACAGAGAAAACAAGTGACCTCATTGTGTGCCCTGCTAGGACAGACGAACTCATTGGTCCACTACAATCCCCTCCCAATCAAAATGCTGGAGGGCCCAGCTTGTCCAAGTATCAGGTATTTGATAGTGGAGAACAATCGTCCCATACAAATGTAAAGAAGGTATTTAAATTCAAGCATGGAGAAGAAAGACTACTTTCTTTCCGGCCCTTAGGAGCTCAGCCTACAAGATCAGCTCTAAATTTTGAAGTACAACTCACAATTACAGAAAAACCACTTACTTTTAATAATAAAGAATTCGTTTCACTCTCAAGTATACAGGCCGAAGGAGGGCTCAGAATGTTAAAACTTTATCTGGTTCAGGTTCCGCAATGATCCAACTCCCCCCACAGCTAAACCTCTTCTGTCTTCAATGGTGGCCTTGTTCTGGCCTCAACACAATGGCTGTACTTGGGTTTTCTGTCCTTCCCACTAGAACACAGTCCTCTTTGGCAGTCCGAAAAGACCTATGGACGTCCCTTTCTCGGAATAACATTTTAAAATGCATAATAAAATACAAAGGCTCAAAAGGAAACTGATTATATTGAAATTATCAAAACATTTAAAAAGTAATTTTGGGAGTACAGTAACCCATGAGCTTTCAAGTATTAAACAACAAGATATAGTATCCTTTCTACTAACTACTGTAATTTTAAAGTAGTGATGATCGTAAATGATATTTCAAGAAATCCCCAACCATCAAGTGATATGAAAATATCTATAATTACCATTCTTGACAAAAATCACAAGCACTGCTAATACACCTTTGCTTTGCTGCCTCCGTTCATAACTGGAGGCAATCCTGCATCTTATCTAGGTCAGTGAAGACAGAGATGTAAATTTTTTCTCATCTAAGTTCATGGACCTCTTGAGTTCTATCCACCATCTCACAGACCCCAGGTTAGGAACCCCTGCACCAGGAGTGGGAACTTCCAAAGAGCAGGCCACCTCCATACATTCAGCATAAAGTTAAAAAACCCTCAGTGGGAAACTCTTCAAATCACAGGCCCTGACTACTTTATCCTCATCATCTGTGAATAACGACTCTGCATCCAGTCCCCACACTTAGCTGGGACATCCCGGGCTCCTTCCTGCGTACACAATGCCTGGCGCAAGCTCCATCAGGTGGCATCCACCACTGTATATCAATGTTTACCAGTCATCTTTCATTTAGCCAAGCTGGAAGCTTCCAAGGGCGGAATCTCTTTGTGCCCTTAGTACTAACACAGTGCTTGGATCTTAATAGGCATTCAATAAATGTCTCCTGAATAAGTACTGCATGACACGTATGGAGCTACGTAGGCCCTGAGGATACAAACATGACAGCCCCAGTCCGTGCCATATTATGAAATCAGATAAAGGAAGTACACCTGGCACTTCTACCCGATCGGTAAATGTCTCCCTCCCCTCTACCCCATATGCACTGAAAATCCACTGAAGACTATCCTGTCATTCCTAAAACACATCACAGCCTCACAGTAGGGAGGGAAACCAAGTCACCTTGACAGTGAGCACTAAGCTTGGGTAACAGCCAGCTGTGGGTTGGAACAGGGCAGGTGAGAACCAGAATGACAAAGTCAGACATCAGCAACCTGGAAGCTGGAGGAGGCAGGAACCCTTCAGCACTGGCAAGAGAAGCCCACCACCTCCCAGTGCACCCCAGCACCGACCAGCCACCCCGAAAGCCTCGGGGAACATCAGAAGGGGATCTCCAATTAATCAGAAAACCCAGATGAAGAAGCCCCTGGAGCCGCTCTTACTCAAACCAGACAGCTGCAAACGCACCGACAGAACGTCTGTGAATCTGGAAAGTTCAGGGAAAACGTTATCTCAAACCACAAACCAGGCCCAAAAGTGAATGCACCGTACAGAAATGACACCGCCTTGCACGGCTCTGCATAATTAAAATAAAAAAACGAGAGTAACGGGTGTTGAAACGGTAGCCAAAAATAGGTTAAAAAAAAAAAAAAAAAAAAAAAAACCCCCCAATCCCAGCCCCCACCATCCAAGAGGGACAAAAAAAAA